TGAACCAAAATCTTATCTTTAATAATTAAGATAATATATTAATATATGATGTCCAATGATATATAACTACATTATCAAATCTCAAAATTTTCGAGATCTATAAACCCATGATAATCAAATATAAAAATCATAACCCTAAAATAAGGACAGATAAATTACACTTTGAATGTTCTAATTTTGGTTGAACATCTAGTTTGTCCCTATAACATTTTATGGACTAGAACAAATATCAACTAACAATAATCATAAATAAATAAACCAAACATTTTGTAAAAAAATGTGAATACCTCAATAAAAATATATATTCAATCGATTTTTTCACGAAGATTCAATTCATCAACAAAATTAATTAATACTTTATAATGGTAATATAATTATAAAAAGATTAATTAAATAAATTTTAAAAAAACTTTCAAAAATAAAAGTATAACTATTAAAAGGTTTTAAAGAAGAAGGAATCATTTTCTTCAAATGATTTATAATTTGGAGATTGTTAGGATTAACTTGCCTTTTACTTTTTATAGAGAAATTAAATGAGTAAACATTCAATTTGGTTTCTGAAGAATGTTAGAGGTGACTAATAAGTTTTTGAAAGTTTTTCATGCCATCTAAGTTCCTAAATTTTAACTATATTATGCAAGAAAGTCATTATGTTATACTCAATTACTAACTTTGTTAGTTTTTTGAACAATTAGTAGTTAAGTGTCAAGTTAACACATATTCTCTCTTCCAATTGATTATTTTCTTTTCTAATCACCTAATATGAACCATAATGCAAGGTTTTAATACTTTTCAATTAGCAATATATAGATCCTTTGTCATGTTTAAATATTTTGGTCATGAATTCTCTAGTTAAAATGGAAGATTATTGTTGGATGTCATAGGGTTTTCTATTAGAGTCTTTTATCTCAGCCATCCTTGATTTATTTGTTTGTCTTAACTACAAGTTTATGATTGTAAACCCTAAATTATTGAATTTAAAGTTTAGCAAAATGAGTGATCATTCTAAAAGATCTCAAGTAAGGATGTGTCAATCAAATATAGGTATTTCTACTATATTTAATGAATCACAAAACTTATCTGGTAGAAGTGAAGAAAAGTTTATTAGTAATTATCCTCTTTGTTACTATGGAAACCGGATTCTGTTGAGGGCTTCACAAACAAAAATCCAAGGAAATTTTTTTGTCACTTGTCCTATGCTACTTTGGCACTATTGAGTGATGTTTCTCTTCAACAATATCTAAAACCTTGTCTTGTAAAAATGAGTTTTGTGTATTGCACATATTAGTTTTGCATGTGAAATGAAATACAAAAATGAGAGTAGGAGGGAAGAAATAAGCCAATTAAACGTTACTATAGTTATTTTAAATTAAATTAAAAATTAAACTTTACTTTACCATGTGTCTAAATCTACTTAGTATCTAACTGTTACATGCTAATTAGGGGAGAAAATACGTGTCAATATGACAATTAATTATTGACCGATCATGAAACTAGTAGTACTAATTGAGTATAATAAAAAGACTAATTTGTATAATAAGGTTAAATTTAGGAACTTAGATATCACAAAAAATCTTTGAGCAATCTATCGCTCACCTCTACCATCTTTTAGAAATCAAATTGGATGTCTACTCAAAATTAAACCATTTTTCTAAGTGAATTTTCTTTTTCCCTTAAAAAAAAGTGATTTTTCTTTCGTACTCAATTTTTAGTCTTTTTTAAAAAAATATATATTTAATTTTACTTAATCCTAAGTAGTTAATTGAGTAATAATATAGACTCAAATATATTTAATAGATGTTTTTACTTTTTAGTATCAAATTAAGACATTAATTTTTTCTTGTAAATTTTTTATTATAAAAAAATATATAGTTTGAGTAAATACAACGATATTTTTATTACTTTTTTTAATCATATAAAAAGTTAATGTTTTTAATAAGCATAACGATATTTCAAATTGAATACAATTAAAAGATAAAACTATATAACTTTTATAAGACTATGTCTGATAATACAATAACAAGTGCGACTGTGAAAAAGGATCAAGAATTAAATTTGTTTCCATCCATGAGTTACAAATAATGGGAATATAAGGTGATGATTTTATCAGACTTTTTTAAATATCTCTTGATAAATTTTATCTCCAATTTACTTAGTATTATTGGCTTTTTCATATATTTTTAAAGGCCTTACAACTTTTGGGGTGAACCATGGCCCCCCTGTCTGTCACAATAAAGATTCGCGAGTGTTTTAATTAGATTTGTTAGTTTGAATGGCCCTTAATTGGTTTTTTAAGTATAATGGAGCTAGTGAGATTTAAATCTGTGACTTTATCTAAATTTCTGAACTTTCTTCACCGATCACTCAAATCCTAATTACTTATTGAATGATCTTTTGAATAAAGGGATAATGAATATATGATTACCCTTTTTTCTAACGTAAACAATAATTACTAACAACGTTGTACCTCGATTATCTGAAATTACATTTTTAAAAATTATCTGGATATATTAAGAAGTGCTTAATAGGCATATCGTTCACACGTTTTATTTATTTATTATTTAATATATGATATTAGTATGAAATAACTATTATTAGGAGTAATTAATCTTTGTCATGGTTTATAACTGTATATAAGTTGAATATTCATTTTTCATAGCTTATTTTATACCTTAAATCAAGATTTGAATCCTGAATAATTTAATTAAAGAACATAAATTACTTGTACCAATTAATATTGATTTATATGTCCACACTATCAACTATTCAAAAGGTATTTTAACATTATTTTTAAAGAATTTATCATATCAGTATATATATATATATCAATGATTTTAAGATTGAATCGTTCAAAATATTAATTCAAGATTTAATAGTTTAAATATAATTAAATATTGATCTAATTTTATAAAAATGATAATGATAATTAAAAAATACATAAATATAATATCATAGTTTTATAACATTAAAAATTGGTATAAAATATCATTTTATAAGTTTTTAACATTTAAAATACCTGTAAAAAAGTCTAAATATATTATGTAATTTTTAATTTTAATAATATATAAAATGTATATTAATAATAAATTTTTTACGTCTAGAGTATAAAAATTAGGGTCAAATTAATATAATATAAAATTTTAAAATATCAAGAGATAAAAAATTATACATTAATAAAAAAGACTAAATTATATTAACAAAGTTATTAAAAAAATAGATAATATCATTTATTTTAATTTATGATTTTTATTAAAAATAAATCAAATATTTTATTCTAATTTCTAAATTTTTTAAATATATATGTTTTTCTATTTATCATATAAATATTTTAAATAAAATTTTAAAAATAAAAAATATGTTTTTGAATAGTTTCACCTCAACCGATTTTTTGTTTCAGGTTTTTGATTGGTTTGTACCGGCTCTAAAACATTCTAATTATTTTTTTTGTTATAATAGATTGCGCATCAAACTAGTTTCCGGTCTGATTTAGTTTTTTAACCTATGATATATGTAACATTATGGTAATCATATTATTGTGTAAAGTATTTATTCACTTTATCAACGATTAATTAATTTTTTATCGAGTAATCTGACCAGTTACTTTAATGGAAGTCTCCTTCCTAACTACAAGACTCAAGATTCAAAAAAAATAAAAGAGAGAAGAAAAGTACAAAACTCAAGTATAAGGCTTTGTTTACGGAACTCGATCTAGTTCTGTAGGAAGTATTTTTACTTAAACTGATAACATTTATAACCTAGCTAACTATTGTAATAAAGTTTTACATAAAATTTACCTAACTAAAGTCTATCTCATTTAATTATAATACTGTGTGTTTTAAATATTGTAATTTAAAGCTTTTTTTTTAATTTTTTTATAAAAGTTTCATAAGTTTAAGTTTTAAGAAAAACTATATAGAATTTCTCTAGAATCCAAATCTTTTTCTTCTTATTTCTATCTGAAAATCCTTCTTCACTCTCCCTACAATTGAATCATGGTGACAGAGTTGATGATTTGAAGCATACAAAATCAAGAATCTCTAGTTGAAGTGGTTCAGCGATCGAAAGTTTTTCCTTTTCTTCTTCTTTCTTTTGTACTTGGAGTTGAGGTAAAAAAAAAAAGTCTTGTAATTTGATTTATTAAGTTGAATGCTTACTCTTGTTGTTGAAATTTGTCACTTGCATGACTAAATTGGTGAAGATCGTGAATGTTAAGAAATGTTCTTGGAAATAGAGTTTCTTGAATAGATTGGTGAATTTGGTGTTTAATGGTTGCATGTAGTATCTTGAGTTGATTTGGTGTTGTTCATGGTCTATATATGTTGTATATTGTGTTGCATGTTGTTTTAGATGGTCGACTTTCAAGTGTTGAGTCATTTGATGGTTCTATTATATGTAAAAACAAGCATTGTGTACGTCAAACACATTTTTATTTCGTCAAACATAACTAAGTTAAGAGGCTTTTTATTCTAATTATACCAAACACGAGATTGTTAGATAGACATTTTACCAACAATTATATTTATTTTACATAGAATGGTATAATTAATGGATTTTATATATCTTATACATGATAACCAGGTAATTATTGTATAGTAACCTAAGTTAATTGTATGTTGATTAAATCTTGCCGTTACGTTTTTACAGCCCTATACTAAATGTAATATTGTTACATTAACCAGTCAACCGATAGTATGATTAGCCATTGTTAATTTAGTACCTTGCAGCATGTTAACGTTAAATATCAATGTGAGATACCGGTGTAAGAAACAACATTTTAATATAAGGGTAGTGATTAGGATGGATGGAGGACAGACAAAGAGAAAAGAAGAAGAAAAAGAATAAAATAAAGAGAGATAGAGAGAAAGTGAAATGGAAGCGTCAGAAACAACATTTTAATATAAAGATAGTGACAAGAATGGATAGAAGATAGAGAAATAGATATAATATGTAATGGAGAGGAATGAAAGTGAAATAAAAGAGGAAAGGAATGTGTAATTATAATTTTGTAAATATAAGTTTGGTAATGAGAATTGAGTAATTGAAGAATAGTATAAGTAAAAAGACAAAAAACATAAATAAGAAAAAAAAAGAAATGAAAGGCGATGGGCCCAGTGGCTTAGTTAGTGTGAACTGTGAAGGCACCAGATGGGCCAATATTAAACTGCCGGCCCATTATGCCCCCACCTCCCTCCCTGATTCCCTTCTCAAAACTCTCTATTACCACCACACACGCACACACGCACACACAGTACACACACACCTTCCTCTCTCTCTCTCTCTTACACTCACACCACAATGCACTCCTCCGACAACTCCGCCAGCGCCAGCACAGAGTGGACGCTGACCACCAAGTCCCACGCCCCCTCCTCCGACCCCTGCTGGGACGCCATACAGCGGGGCGGCGCCACCCTGGCACTGGGGGACTTGCGGTTCCTGCAGCGGGTGGGCAGCGGCGACATCGGAAGCGTGTACTTGGTGGAGCTGAAGGGCTCGAACGCGTGCCTGTTCGCGGCGAAGGTGATGGACAAGAAGGAACTGATGGGGAGGAACAAAGAGACGAGAGCGAAGATGGAGAGAGAGATTCTGCAAGTGGTGGATCATCCCTTTCTCCCCACTCTCTATGCATCGCTCGATTCCCCACGCTGGTCTTGCCTCCTCACCGAGTTTTGCCCCGGCGGCGACCTCCACGTCCTCCGCCAGCGCCAGCCCGATAAACGCTTCCACCACGCCGCCGTTAGGTTTGTTATTTTTCTTCATCTGCATGTCCGTATTCATTCATTCATCAACATGAACGTGCATGCACAGAATAATTATTCATAAATGGAAAGAAACTTGATAGCTATTAGCTAGCCGTTGCTGTCGGTTAGTGGCATTTGTAACTCGATTAACATTACATTACCATGTGTTGGACCTTATTCCTTCTAATCCTCACCACCGCTAATATAACAAAAAGGAAAATCATTATTATTCTAAGGATGGAAAGAGAGAGATATAGAGCATGTCTATTTGGCTTCTCTCACTTGGCCATGGGTCCGTTTTGGCTTAGTCTTCATAATTTCGTTGCCTGTGGGCCATCTGATTCAATTCATGTCTCCTCTCATGCCTTTCATTGTGATCCCACGAACCCCTTTCGTGTGTCTGTCGTGCACCAAACCAAATAATTATTTAGTGCTTCGGAATGCCAAAATAATAATAATTATACACTTTTCACCATTCTTATCTCCACTTTCTCACTCTCTACTCATTTGAATAATTTTCCCTCATTTTTAATTCATCTTGCCATAATTCATACTAAACTATTGCATAAATAACTAATTGAGTTTGGGTCTAGTCAAACGATTTACATACTGTTTCGCCTTGCTTTACATGCAAGTTATTTGTAGAAATTAAAAGAACATGATTGCATAAATAAATATGTTGAAAATAATGCAACTTACGGGCTATTAATTAATTAATAGGACCTCGCATGTACCCTGTAAAATTCTAAACCAATACATCGGTTGCTTTCTGGTCCATATTTAAGGACACTATATATTAAGTTATATTAACCTTTTCTTTTTTCCAAAAAATAAAACTTTATGACGCTTTGCTAGGTCAAATTTTAAAAATAATAGCTATGATTATTCAAAAGTGGACCCTACATGATTTAATTATTGGAGGAATGGATGGTAATTAAATTATGATGGTGATATACCAAAAATAATATGATGGCGATAATAACAATTCTAACATTGGGTTGACTGAAGGTTCTATCTGCAAATGTGACTAAAGAGTAAAGACCCGTCTTTATTTTTGAGTAATATTGGTGTACGTCTTGGCTGTTCCAGGTTCTACGCATCTGAAGTGGTGATTGCGTTGGAGTACCTACACATGATGGGAATAATATACCGTGATTTAAAACCTGAAAATGTGCTCATAAGATCAGACGGTCACATAATGCTCACAGACTTTGACCTCTCGCTAAAAGGCGACGAAAGCACATCAACGGCTCAGATCGTGTTTGATCAAGACCCACCCGCCAACACCTGTTCGAAGGAACCCTCCAAGAACCAATGCGCGCCCGCCATGTCATCATGCATGCTGCCCAATTGCATCGTGCCACCTGTCCCATGCTTCCACCCAAAACGCGGTCGTAGCAAGAGGTCCTCCCGATGTGGGTCCGTGGAGATCATAGCTGAGCCAATAGAAATTCGCTCAATGTCGTTCGTTGGGACCCACGAGTATTTGGCGCCCGAAGTGATTTCGGGTGAAGGCCACGGTAACGGCGTTGATTGGTGGACATTGGGAGTGTTCATTTTTGAGCTCTTCTATGGGATCACACCCTTCAAAGGGCTTGAGCATGAGCTAACCCTAGCCAACATAGTGGCTCGTGCCCTTGAGTTCCCTAAGGAGCCCATGATCCCTGGACCAGCTAGGGATTTGATATCACAACTTTTGGTCAAGGACTCCACTATGAGGCTAGGGTCTACAATGGGTGCTGTAGCAATTAAGCACCACCCCTTTTTCAATGGGGTTAATTGGGCATTGTTGAGGTGTGCTACCCCTCCATACATCCCTTCATCGGACAAGTGCAAGGAGTTGGTTAGGGTCTATAATTGCACAACCAATGCTATAGACTTCTATTAGAAGGATAATCACAATTCCACTATTTTATACACAATTGCATACAACTGACATGCTTCATATACGAGTTCAATCGAAAAAACTACCATGGGATTATTAAAATAAAATAATAATAAAAAGTGTGTGGATTTTGTGTAATTAATTATAGTTGTGTCATATGAATCTCTCCTATTGCAAAAGCAAAGAAGCAGATCAAATGGGCATGTGTTAGGTGCATGTATGATTTGTGCACACAACTGGAGTTTGGTGTAACTAACAAATTTATTTAATTTTTAGAAAGGGGTGAACAAATCATTTCAAAGTATTCATTGGATGCCTTATTTTTAATGTTACAAAAAAAGGAAAAGAAAAAAAATAGGATTTATATTCAGTTATTACAATTCTTTTCTTATAGAAGTAAAGAATGCAAAATTATATAGTTATTATAAAGCCTATCATCACATTTGGTAAATTTACTTTTTATATATTCTTGTTTGAAATAATATGAAAGGGAACATGAGAAGTTGAGAAGATTCGAATATAAAATAAGGCAATTGCTTCTCACTTCCTCCTGTTTGGCTTGTCACATCAATTATTTTTTCTCAACAGATGTTGATGTTGGTTGGTGGACCTACCGTTTCAACAGCCAATTGCATGTGGCATTTTGGTGTGTAAAATAAGGTTTTGCTCTCCGTGATCTCAGTTTTATTCAGATTCACAGTGCTTGGTGGTTGCAATTACCAATCATGTATGATAAGATGACGTTGGATAAATAAAACTGTGGAAGTACTATTATACTATTTTTTGCAGAGTTATGGATTGACGTTGTATCAAGTACTGCATTGATACATTTGAGATTTTCCGGTAACTGTCTTTTCTAGATTTGACTAGCATGAATAAACTAGTTACATACATATTTTTTTGAACACTCTATACAAGTCGAAATATATTTCGAATCAGCGTCCAAATTATTAAAATATTATTATTATTTAATATATTTATTATAAAATAATTATTTAATTTAATATTTTATTATTTAAATTATTTTTTTAATAATTCGGAAGACATTTCAGATGAAGGATGCAGCATTTTTCTATTTTTTTTCATCCATAGTCACATAAAATTCATACATAATTGATGGAAATCTGGAACAATGGAAATTTTGTACATTTTATTTTCTAAAGAAATTTCTGTTTTTTTATGACAGGTTTTATACTTCTCGGGTAAAACAAGTAATAAGAGGATAAAATATAGTTTTTATTTTATTTTTTATATTGAAGGAAAGTGACAGTTTATTTTATGTTGTTTCACTCAACCATTCTAATTTTATACGATGTCAAAGCTATATACAAATTCTAATTTTAGCTTTATTTATTATGTGCTTTGGCCGTTTGTTATTGAATTTCTCTATTTCTTAAAAAATAATAATATTTCTGTCAAAAGTTAAGACTAATATTAAGTATTAAGATTTATTTAATAGATTGAATTTTCTGAACAAATATTTTTATATGTAAATACTTTTCTTTTTTATTTCATTGAATTTTAAGGTGAGTTAAAAATAACTGATAGATATATTATTAAAATAAAGGTTAAAATTATTTTTATAATAGTTAATTTATATTTTAGTTCTCTCAATTTTTAATCCTATAATTTTAATCTCTTTTTTTTTATAATAAAATTTACAATTTTTGTCTAACTAAATTTTTATTAATTGACCATTGAAATTGTAATATTAAAACAAAAACTATGAAAATTAATATTTAAATTAAGGTAAAATTACACTTTTATTCTTTATTTTTATCTCTTTTTTTCTTTTTCTTTTTATCACTTTTGAGATTAAAAAAACATAATTTAACCTGCATATTATTCAATATCAATTGTCATAGTATTTACTTAAGTCAACATTAAACTAAAAGAGATAAAAATGTGAATTTTATAAAAGTTCAACAGTTAACATAAATATTTAACAGTAAAACTATAAGTGTGAATTTTATAAAATTAGAGGACTAAAATCATAAATTTTAGAGATGTTTTTTTACCAAAGATAAACTTTACAGTTTAGAGGATCAAAATCACGAAATAAATTGAAGATTATAAAATTTAAAAAAAATACAATTTAGCCTAAAATGAATAGACTGATATAACACATAAAAAATAATTTCAATTATTTTAGTAACTCTATTAAATAAAAAGTTTTTTTTTACCTCATCTTTAAAACTCACCTTTTAAATTTAGAATTCTCCCCTTAATTTTCGTGGTTGAAGACATCCTATCCCTTCTTGGTGGGGTGGGTTTAGAATGGATACTAAGATTATTGGTGCTTGGTAGAAGGAATTAGTAGGTATTTGAGTGAAAAAAATAGTGAATTTTATTGATTAAAAGTTTAATCTTTAAGATGAGCTAATTGTCACGGAGTTAATAGGAAAAACAAAAAAATAACTTTTATTTCTTTTATATTATATGTACTCGTGATTAAAGAAGCAAAACTTCATCGTGTATATAATGAATTATGGTAATGGATAATACATTATCAAAAGCAAAATTCTCTCCCGTGAGTGATGCATTATGTCATATTCTAATATAATAGAATCAGAAATACATTATACTCATAAACAAGAAACAATGTAAATAAAGAAGGGTAAAATTACAATTGTATATATTATTTATTTTTACATAAAAATTTAACTATATAAAATATAATTTTAAAATACCAACTTTTATTTATTTTTCATTTAATTTCACTCTATTAATCAACTACAAATTTCACTCTATTTACTATTTAATTTCGCTCTATTAATCAATTACAAATTTTACTCTATTTACTAGAAAATCAATTCTCACGTCATCTCTTCCCTTTCAATTCCACCCTCCCTCTCCCATCAAGTGGAGCATTAGAGAATTTGATACTTTTCAATAGTGCATGCAGTCTTGGATGTGAATGAATGAAGTATTGTTAGGTCTTAAGCTGCATGCAAGTTCATCTTCTGGTAGCTCGTTCAAAATTAAGTATATTTTCTGTCTGCATTTGAGTTGTGTTTTTTTTTCTTTCTTTTTATTGTTTGTTCTTCATCAATATCAGTCTATCTGCGACTGCGAGCTAGTTTAAATGCATTTCTTACCTGTTGCTTATCTTGACTTTTCAAAAAGGTAGACAAACAGAACTTTCAACTGCTTATAACTTTCCCTAGTTAAAAAAATGGACCCTAAATGCCTTTAATTACTTTTAGCAGAGAATGCAAATGAGAGAGAAAAACACTGTTTCACGGTTATAGATGATGGCCATAGAGATATTTGCGGTTCGAACTGACTGACGGAACCAAGAAAACCGGTGGGAACAAAGACAAAGGAAGTTAAATTCTCAATAGAAGCACATTAATACAGTATCACAGATGTGAAAAACAGTAATATACAGCAGTGTTTGTTGTGACACACTAAAATACATCAGATAACAAGTGCCATCATTATTCCAAGTTCATCAAACATTTGATTCACACAGCTACTTCTCCCGCGCAGAATAGTGCCAAATGTTTTAGGCAGCACTTACTGTGCTAGTTGCGGGTGCTGCTTCACCTTCCCAGAAGGTAGTCTTCTTCCCAGTTTTGGAAACGGTCTGCAGAACTGTGTCTGGCTGGACATTTCCCTTCACTACCACCTTCTGTTCTTTCAAATCAATGTCATATGATTCCACACCTGCAAATGAGATCACTTATTATTCTACAACATCGGAAGTGGAACTTTGTCTGGTATATTGTCATTGCAATGACAGGGAAACAAAGTGGCTTTGAAAATTGGATTATTTCAGATAGTCATGATAGATCATAGAAAATCTTTTGCAACCAGTAAGGGGAAAAATATATAATACAATTGAAAAAATAAATATGAAACAAGCAGATATCTGAACTAAAATATTTTAAGGGAAGAAGTGAGAACTGGAGCTTTTATGTTGATGAAAGAGACACAGTAAATGCTTTAGAAAACATCAGTCTTTATTATAGAACAAGAAAGGATGAAATCTACATGTAAAAGAAAGAGAAGCTTCAATCTAGTAAAGGTCAGATATTAATAGTGCTAGAGGGGTGTTGATTTAGTTTAGCAATTTAAATGACTTTGTTTTTGAATTGTGACATAATCAAACATGTTTCAAAAATGAATGGAAGGATTATTCATTGGACATGTTGACACTTGACATAAATATAGAAACGTCACAGATACACAGACACACATACTATCATGGGCATTTCAAGAAAATCATTTCAAAGTCCAGCAGAGCTAAATCATAATGCCCAAATCAGGTACATCAGGAGTACAGAAAATGGGGTTAAAACATGAAACCTGTAATATCTGGATACATAAAGAGTAGAGAAAATGGGGTTAAAACATGAAACCTGTAATTTCTGGACCAAAAAATAAAATGAATTACAGTAAGAGTGGCCTAAAAAAGGCTGTCAATGTTTCTATGTACAGAAGCCACATCAAATTCAGTGTTAAATTCTAATAACCAGCATTAACAGAGAGTCATTAACAACCCGAGCAGGGGTATTTCTGTTGATTTCCAAGAATTAATTACAAACAAGAAACCCACATGATCAAACAATCACAATCCAACAGGAAAGAGAAATAACATTGAGAGAGAAGAGCATTAACAGGAAGTTTGAGCTATTTAACATAACCAATGACCTCAAAATGTTCTACTACTCAAGTCATGTACGGACACACATGAAACCCACCAAGATAACGCAGGATAGGGAAGGAAATAAAGCTCGGGAATGAGTTTCAGAATTAAAGAGACCGCTGACACATATTTGAAACTGTTGAAATTTTTGGGCTTTAGGATAGAGTAGGAGGAAGAGATATAAAAGATAATGAAACATTGAGTCGATATTGACTGAGATACATTTCAATGTATTGTATTTGATATGTTCATAAAACCTAGATCACTAACCCCTGTTTATTCTAGTGACTACTGACTACCATTTGAAATTTTTGGGTTTCAAATAAGAGAGGAAGAGATATAAAAGATACTGAAATGTTGAATTGATATTAACTGAGATGTATTATAATGTATTGATATATTTTTATTTTATGTTCATAAAACTAATAGTACTAACCCTTGTTTATACTAGTGACTGGTCATAATCCTAGCTAATTAGGAAAACAATTCATGATTAAATAAGGATGGTACCCAATCCTAAAAGATAACGAAGAAAGAGGGAAATTAAACCTTAAGGATAACTTAAGATGTTTTTTAAGATATGATATTTTCATATATTCTATTAGAAACCAAAATCTTTTGAGAATTAAGATGTCATGCTGACAACATACCTGGACAGACAGAAATTGATAAAAGCCTAGAACTACAAAGTAAAGTGGTTGTGAAAGATAACCATTTTCATGTCGATTGGACATCAGAGAAAGTTTGCACTAATGGTTAATTAAAATGTTCATAAATATAATATAATGGTAATTTCAATCCAAGGGATTTGACATACCATCCAATTTTCCTAGAACCCTCTTCACTGCTCCAACACATCCTTCACATGACATACCAACTTTGAGGACAACCGTCTGCAACAAAAATGCAAAAAATTTCAGATAAAGAGGGAGAGGAAAAAAAAAACAAGTAACATCTTGATTCTTAAACTGCAATATCCATACATAAAAGAAACACATTCATACCTTGAATTTAAGAAACACTGATCAATTTAAAAAGAGGAAGGGAGGGGGGAGTATGCATTGCAGAACGATAGCAAAGCAGGAAATGAGATACGAATATAAATATAATAAATCCACCGTCGTATCTACTAATACAGCAAAAGAACAATCATCCGTTTCATCATTCCTGCTA